AGACATTTTCCATTCTTTATTATAGTAATACCAATCAGTGTAGCTTGGGAAATATTGTAAGGATACTAGAAAGAATGACATAGCATGGAAATAAAAACATCTGTGTTTGGAGCATTATAATATGAATCAAAGAGAAGTCACATTTAGAATAGGAGACACAGTTGGATGTCTTTCTAGCATTCATACACTAAACATTTATTAAATGCCTGTCACAAGCCAGACTCCATATCAGGTTTCATAATTGTTATTTATGATTGACACCTCTAGGAAGCTGGTACAATAGTACTTAGAAGATGACTTGGAAAAAGTAAGGGTTTAGGCACACTTCGGTTTCTTTTTTTTTAATTTTTGTAAAAACTAATAGCAACACTACTGTGTTAGAAGTTGGGGTTATGAAAAGAATTATGATGAACAAATACTTCTCACCTAAAGAAGCTAATTGATGAGAGAGACACATAAACCTAGAGTTGTAGTTGGCTGTGAAGTAAGAGTTGTGGCAAATGATGGGAATCCTGAGAAGTAAGAATATTTTATGCAATGTACTTTATAGGGATCAGAAGAGAGTTTCGGGTTTACAGAGTAGCCAGAAGTGTGTTGGATATGGGGCTGGTATTTTAGACTTGAAGTGGAGTTGTGTTTTGGGGCATGGGCATGGAAATGTGCAAGAGAGCTGGGCTAAGACCACTGAAGTGGCAGATGTGGCACCTTGAGGTGAGCCTGGCTTACACTTTTATATCTGGGTTTTGACTTCTTTAAGGCAATTTATAAGATTTCTGGTCAAAGAATGATGCAGAAAGGAGAAATGATACCATGGCATTTGATACCATGGCATTTGGCAGATCTGTTAGGGAGGAGGAATAATTCTAGAATTACCGAATGTTAGAACTTCAAGGAGATTCTCCATTCAGCTCATCTCATCTTCCCCATTCTCTCAAGCCTGCAGACTCAGCCCTAAAACAGGACTGTAATAGTCTCTGATACTTCTTTGAGCACCTACTCCTTCCGTGTATTGTGTTGTTTCTTATCTACTTTGTACTAAGAATTTCACTGGAAGTAGGCACTGTTATTAAGCTAACTTTTCCACCTAGGAAGCTGAGATTAAGAGAACTTGTGGGATCTGCCCAAGCTAATACAAGAAATGGCAAACCAGGTTGTAGGCCGGTAGTGTTAACACAGGCCATGGGCCCAATGCAATCTACCCTCCCAAAGCTTTGGAAATTCCTCCATCTAGAGTTGGAGATTTAGATGTAATGCTCCTATTTGCTTAGCTCCTAGCAAGCTCCTAGACTGTTAATTAGTTGACTGTTTCTGAATTAATCTCAGAATCCTTTATTTCCTCAGAGGTTCTGTCGACTATGGCTTTGGGATAAAGTCTGTACTGAATTTACTGAAAATCACAGTTGTGTTTCCAAGTATCTACTTTTCTTTTTTTTTTTTTTCCTGGTACCAGGGATTGAACTCGGGTCCTTGTGCTTGCAAGGCAGGCCACCGAACCACTGAGCTAAATCTCCAGCCCATACTTTTCCTTCTTTTAAACTGGAGTACCTGTCAGACTACCCCCTGCCCTATGAGCCTTGGTCATGTTTCAGCCTTTCTGTATAGGAAAGCCAGACTCACATGGGAAAAGTGGCAATCACAGAAGCATTTCTTGAAACTTGTCAAAAAAAAAAAAAAAAAAAAACAAACAAACAACCGACCAACCAAACAAAAAAAACGGTAGAGTTCTGGCTTGAATGAGGGCACATTTCGTACTTCTACAGGCTAGTTTGTGATTTAAAAAAAAGGCATAATGCAATAATGTAAACCAAAAGATAATATGTTGACTATAATAACCTAGAAAGGTAATTTGTGGGAACAAGAATAGTTCTTACCCCCCCACCCCAAGTTGTTTTTAAGGACTTAAAAAATGTAATTGAATATATATCTTTTATATACATTTTATGAATTTCATTGCTTTAGGGGACGGACCCTCACCTTAAACTTAGAACATATGCCTCTTTTTTTGTCCTGAATATTCTGTATCATAGATTTTAGTTTTGTTACTTCTCTATGTTTACACCCCCCTTGTTTTCTTTCCTTTTCTTAGCCTCTTTAGGTTTAAGTCTGCTAGAGTCTCAGGGACTTTGCCCAGTTGTGGCTTTCACTTCTGAGGAGCTGGGAGATCCCCTTGTAGAAATGAAGTGTAGTAGTACTCATTTTGGTTGTCATTTCTCCCTTGTCTCTTTTATTTTGCCTGTTATTAGTTTTTATTTTGAAATAATTTTAAATTTATAGGGAAGTTGCAAGAATAGTAATTACATACCATAGTCTGATAGATAAAATTTTAACATTTTGCCACATTTACTGTATTATTCTGTCTGTACATTCTTTTGTTAATCCATAAAATATATTCTCAAAATCTTTGAGAGTGAGTTGCATACACACTATCCCTCTATTCTTTAATTTTTTAGAATATAGTTCCTAGGAGTAAGTGTGTACTTACATACCTCAGTGCAGTTATCACTGTCAGGAAATTAAAACTTGATAGAATACTTGAACTTAACTCCAAGTTGTAATTTTTACCCATTGTTCTAATAAGTGTCCATATAGTAATATTCTTTCCTTTATTACAGGGTCCTATTTAGACTTATATTTTTCAATTTGTTGCCCATGTTTAGAATAATTTCACTTATGTATTAGTCATGTTATTTTTTTCTTTGAACAGTCATATTAAATGAGTCAGTATCCATGGTATGATTAACATACACAGTAGATGTTTAAATGTAAAGAATTTATTACAGTAAAAGACACATTAATATTCCCCTTTATTCTATCTTTTTTTTTTTTTATTTTTATTTTTTGGTACTGTGGATCGAACTCGGGTCCTTGCGCTTGCAAGGCAGGCCACCGAACCGCTGAGCTGAATCCCCGGCCCTGTTATCTTTCTTGCCACTTTCTGAATGCAGTACTTTAGACTGCTTGACCATCTGGACATCTTACAGTTTCTAAAACAGTTCTGAATGTCCTTTTTCCTGAGTGTCTTTAAGAGGTATGATCCAAAGTACAGTGAATGCTGCTGCTGAGTGTATCCAAAAGGAAAGCTTTTAAAAACATTACACAATGTGTGTGCATCCACTTTATTCACTGGACCTGGCGCTATGCAACTTCTGGCTCATCCTCAAAGTTAAGCTTACCATGAAAGGTGCACATTTTGAATCGGTTTAGGGCATTGAGGCAGCCATGACAGTGCAACTAAAGTGGACTTCCAGTGAAATTGGACTTCCAGAGCTGCTTTAGAAAGTGCTAAGAATGATGGGACAATATGTTCAAAGTGAGGGGGGAGTATTTTGAGGGGGCTTAATGGCAATCTATCTTTCACTTTTTAAAAAAAAGATATAAACACTCACCAAATTTTCTGATACTTTTACTTAATTAGAGCTCTGATAAAGTAGTTCCTTATAAAGACATATCTCTGAAAAGCACTTTAAAGCCAGGGGCTGGTAGCTTGTGTGTCAGTATAGCATATACTCTTTTTTCCAGAAATAGGCAAATCAGTTGGCAGTTTTTATTGGCATTTTCTATAATATAGTTTTAAAGTTCTTAACTTTAAAAATTAGTGAAATGTAGGGATGGCTCAGTGATAGAACATACATGTGCAAGACCATGAGTTTGATGGTAAGTTTGTGAGAGATGTGATGGCAACCTGGCAATAGTGAGGATTGCAGGAGAAATCAGTAACTTTTCTGGTTTCAGATACAGCTCTGATGCATCTTTGAAACTGTTTTTCCATGCAAATCATACTTAAAAGTCTTTGTGGTTGACTCTAATGGTTATTTCCTCTTAAAAGTTGGGAAAATTGAGGCTTAGAGCTTGTGAATAACTTAACTAGCATTAAATAGCTATTTAGGAGCAGCAGAGAGAGTTGGATCCAGGCCTGCCTGACGAGAAACTTGGTATTCTTTCTATTGTGCTAGATGTGGCAAGTTGGTTTCTGCTTGTCTGTGCAATGTAATAATTGATAATGACTGCTGCCTGCAGCTCCACTGAGCACTTGGGAATTAGTGCTGGAATTGATTAGCAATGTCTGTCTCTGCACAGTCGTGGAAGAGTGGAAGGTTTCCATGCCTCACAGAGGCTATTCTGGCATTATACTTCCCTCTGATAATGTTGGTGCTAAAAATCTGTCCTCTTTAAAAGCCTTTTATGGCTGGGTGCAGTGTGCATACCTGTAATGCTAGCACTGTGGTAGACTGAGGCAGGAGAAACACAAGTTCAAGCTTAGCCTGGGCAACTCAGTGACTTAGCTGATATGCAGAAAAGTCTGTTGTGGCTTTTCTTGGCACCACAGAGCTGCATATAGTCGGAAGAAATTTGGCATGTTTACACAAGTCTTCCTTTCTTGTTTTAGATCTGGGTTTTTAAGGAAGATACACCATGTTATTCCTTTCTTAAGTAAGGGCCTGCTAAGGGGCTGTCACTAGTGACATATTAATATGAACAGTATTAATGCTTAGAGATGTAAATGTTAGAAAATGACAAAGTCATGAAAAAAGCATAACAATTTTTAGGGGGCTGCAGGATAACAAATTTTAGGGAAAATGGAACCACATTCCATTACTATTTTAATATTTCTTTTAGATATAATTTACTTTTGAAATAAAGAATATATATGTACTTCACTTGTTCATAAAGTTCCTACATTTGCTAAATTAAGTTTAAAAATATGTTTTAGTCAAACAGTAATTTACTCATTGAATTAATTTACAAACAGTTAAGCTTTGGGGGATTCTGCTAATAATAGGTTTTGCCAATTTATAAAAATCAGATAAAAACTGGTAAACTCAGATAGGCTTACTTTCTGAACTTATTCTAAAGCATATAGATTATAGCTATAAACAGGCTCAGTATTGGTTTTTCCCTACTTCATCATTCATTTTGCTGTGGGACAGTCTAGGTAAAAAACATATTTATCAAGTAGGAATACAAATAAATATCATTGCAGACTTTTAATTAGTCCTCTGAAGGAGCAGCACAAGGGTTTTCTGAGAGGATTTTGCTTAAGACTGGTGTTCTGGGAGTGCTTCTCTGAGGTCATCATGTTGGAGCTGAGGTCTGCTGGACAGCAGAGTTGGTGGAAGTAGTCACATAATTATATTTGAAGGACCAGTGCTAGGAAAGTGTGTTTTCTCTAGAGCCCCATGGAGGCTGTTGTAGTTGGAGGAATGGGTATCCAGCTAACTGACTTGGGGAGGAGTTGGCATGATGGAGAGGGAGAGAAGTGATCAGAGTTTGGAAAAGTTGGATAATGGGCAGAGGATCCAGGCAGGAATGTTGGGTGGCAGTTGGGTGTAGAACTCAGGCTCAGAGGAACCAGCTAAGGGAGACGCAGGTATATGGGGAGGTAATGAAGCCATGGCTTGCATGAACTTGTAGAAAGTGAAGATTTGTCTGTAGTAATGCATGATTCTTTGCTTCTTGTACTTATTGACCATTAAAAAAGTATACATTCTAGGTAGAATGCTGCTGTTAAAAGGCCATTCTGTATTGAGGAAGCTATTCCTTTTTCTTCTGTTCAAAAAATGTTATTCAAGCCAGGGATTTTACTAAGTGCTGGGTATGAAAAGATGATGAATAAGACAACCTTTTCATCTTTAAGAGTCTGCAGGGGAGACAAGAAAATAGATTAAATTATTGAGTGATTTTGCTGACTTCAGTATACTAATTTGTTAAGAGAAGAAGAAAAGAGATTTAGGAAGCTCTTGCTATGTGATAAATCCTGTGACGTCTCATTTAATCCCATGGCAGAACTGTCATGATGAGTGTGACTGTTTTCTATTAATGGTGAGCCTAAATTTCATAGCTTGCAAGTAGTATACTTAGAATTCATATCCAGGTTTGTCTGACTCTAAAACCTGTGCCACTTCCCTTATGTCTTGTTGCTAAAAGTTCTGTGTTTCTAATGTTTGGACTGCTTATTTTGTATATTAGAGAAGATAAAGGAATTTGAAGTTCTTGAAAGATTGTCACCCAAAAGCAAATATGGCAGGTCTTCTGCTTGTACACAAGAGTAAAAAGTGGTGAAGGTGTTTTGGGCTCAGTGGAAAATCTGTTGATGAAGATCATCTTCTAGATGCTGATGCCTGGATCTATGTAAATCTTTATGAATGGCTTCAGTTGTCAGCTTTAGGCTCTGTCTTCTTATACTTGTACAGTACTTTTATATCAGTGGAGTAGATGAAGAATTGAATGAAGTACTATGCTGATCTCATTGATGGTTGCTAAAATACATTAATATGTTGGATGTCAGAATCAGGATCTGAAAAAATAGTTATCAGGATATGAACAGTGACCTAAATAAAAACATTGGAAATAAGCAGAAATAAGCAGAGATAAAGAGAAACCTCTGGTACTAGGGTCACTAATCTATCTGATGTGAGATAGGGGAAGTGGGGTTTAGTCACAGCCTATGGAGAGGTGGGAATGGCATGAGAGTGCAGAGATCTTATCTAACCCTAACCCTAACCCATTGGTACCAATGTAGGTTCTAGAAAAAGGTAATCAAGAACCTGGCCATACTAGCTTTTGTTTTAGGGGACTAAGAATGGCATATTTCACCCAGAAAAGGGAAATAGCTATAGCTGTTTCAAATAATCTGCTAAAGGACCAAAGTAGAAACCTATGGGTATAAATTACTAAGAACTAACTTTGTAATATAGGAAGAGGGAATCCATAAACTTCATGGTTATAGACACTTTGAGGAGATTCATCATACAGCAGTGTGTACCACTGAGTTTCTTCTCAGTTCTAAGGTTCTGTGTTTCATTGCTGAATCCTTAAAGAGGGTGTCTTAAGAATTATGATTGTGGGCTGGGGATTTAGCTCAGTGGTTCCACTGCTTGCCTCACAAGCACAAGGACCCGAGTTGGATCTCCAGTACAAAAAAAAAAAAAAAAAAAGAATTATGATTGTGCAGGAATGTATTAAAGTACTTTGGAAATACATGGATGGCATTTGTTTTCATTGTTTGATAATGCAAGTCAGAGTCTCTGAATTTCAGGAAGTGGAGTGTTTTGTAGATCCCTGACAGAATATGCTGAACGTGGGATGTCTTTATATCATGGATACATTTTTTTTTTAGTATCCCTAAGTGTTGAGAATCATGTTTGATAAAAGCATTTTACTTGTAATTGGTAGTTTACTTTGTATGTAATTTACAACATACTAATATTTTATTGATAATATTAATCTAAAATATGAGAATCTGATAATTACACTCACATAAAACTTAGTATGTAGCTTGGGAAGAATACTGTATTTTTCTATTTCGGACCTGAATAATAATAATAATAATAATAATAATAATAATAATAATAATAATAATAAAAAAAACATATGAAGAATTAGCTTTGTCCTAAATTGTACATCAAAATATATCTTTCAAATAATAGCAGCACAAATAGAAATTGCCCATTGTCCCTTTTTAAAAATATTACCACTAATTTTACATGTGACTGCTATATACACAGGTATATATGTGTGTGTACATATACACACACACACACACATATGCATATACACATCCACACACAGAATTGACAAAAAAATATTCTTGTGCCCTTTAAATGTCATTTTGTGATTCCAAAAATACATTTGTTCTTAGCTCCTCACCTAAAGAAACTAAAACCAGGATCAAACAAATTGACAGTGATCATCTTTTGAAGTAGTATGAGTTCTCTCCTCCTCTTCCTCTGTGTTGTCAATGCCATCATTGTTAGAGCGCATACTAAAACATCCTTTCCTCCTTGTCTAATATCTTAGAATTCTTCTCCCTCTCCTCCCTCCCCTCCTTCTCTCCTCCCTCTCCTCCCTCTCTTTCTTTCCTCTCTCCTCTCCTTGCTTGCTTGCCGCTAGCTGTATTGGGGATCAAATCCAGAGGTTTTCTAACACTGCTACATCCCTAGCCCTTATTGTTTTTTTATTTTGAGATGACTCTGAGTTGCTGCTCAGGCAGTACTCAAACTAGTGATCCTCCTATCTCAGCTTTCCTCGGTGGTGTTACAGGCATGTACTACTGCACCTAGAATTCTACTTCTCTTGATTCTTTCTCTACCATTGAATAATGTGTCAGGTAGTCCTGTGTTGACAGAAGGCCTTGTGTTAATAACAGATTTGAAATTCTGGTGTTTTTGTTTAAGTCTTTAAAAACAACTATTTTGTCATGAGTACAAGTAAAGCCAAGTGTGTTTAGGCGCAAGGCTGTGTGTTTTCCTACCCCACTGTGGTGATCATGTGTGAACTTCTGATGTCCTGCCACTCTTAATGTCCCTTCTGTTATCTGGAAGAGAGAGAGTCACTTTGGTTACTGGTTCTTAGGAAACTGAGAATCTTGGAACTTTATGGCTTGACGAGAACTAGGCAACTCTTTATGAAATAAGGGAAGAGAATCTTTGGTGCTTCACTCTTACTTTTGGTAAACTGGTTTTTTGGCTATTAGGTGTACTGACCAAGAGTATATATATCTATCTCACCACTAATTTTTACATGTGTCTGATGTAGCAGACGTGTAAAATTAGTGATGATATATAACTGACACTCTGACAGATGGCTAGTTGAGTAGTAATGCTGAGTTTTTATTTTTGAGAATATTTTTCTTTATGTGATCAGTCAGCATTGCTAAATAGTTATTGAGTAAATATAGTCATCAAAGATATTTGTGTGAAATGTAAGAAAAAAAAAGTGTAAAGCCTAAGAGTATGGTCATTTGGGTCCACGTGAAAGGTAAGAATTCATGCATGAAAAGTGAAAAAGTAATACACAGTGAACTAATACAAGACAACCCAGAAGTCTGTCACATGCCAGCATCTGGGAGATCCCTTGACAGGTGCTACCCACAGGAAATGCTGCTGGAGTGTAATAAAAGATTGGTGGCTGGGCGAGGTTGCTGGTGGGGATTAGGGTCCTTTGTGCCCTGCTGATTTCTGCCCTGAGTGGGTGGATGCTAGACAGACAAATGCTGAACAGCTGATTGTAGTCCCATTCCCCTTCATTCTCCAGCCAAAATAGTGTTTATAGTATGTTTAGGGAAAAATAAAGGCTTTTTAGAGCTGTATTTGGACAACCTCACAGAAAAGCCAACACAAATTGCTTCATGATAGGGCAACTATTTATAGGTCACTGTAGCTGCCCCTGATTATTATCAATACAGATTTCACATAGCTATAATTTATGTGTATACCAGATTTTAAAATTTCCTATTATTTTCTGTGTACTTGTGTCTGTATACCTACTATGTCGATAGGGTTTTGCTTGTTCCCAGCTTCTGTAACTGTTGAGTAGTTGGGTTATTTCATTTTTTTCTTTAAACAGTTACAGGTAGTTGCAGGACTCCAGGTTCTGGACAGCCCCTTTTAACTCTGAGATCCTATATGAGTTTACTAATTTGATATTCACTGTTCTTGTGAAGGTAGGTAACTTTTCTCTCAGTGGGTGAGAAAACTGACTTGCTGCTTAGTCAAGGTCATAGATGGTGGAAAGTGGTGGTCTGTGTGATGGTGTGGTGAGTCCTGCAGATGCAGATACCCCTAAATGAAAAGCCCTTGTCCCACTGGAGCAAGTGTCACAGGTGGAACAAGATGTTGCCACTCTGAAAGTGTTATTACTACCAAATTATCTCCAAAGAAATTTTATATTATTTTAAGTCTGTTGGTTCAATACTCATCTACTCACATCAGGTTTGAGTATTTTGGCCATTTCTTTTTGATAAAAGTATTGAAAAGTTTTCATTAGTGACCAATATGAGAACATTTTCCTAATGATTCAAAAGGAGAGCTGTTTTATTGTGTGGCTTCTTTATTAATCCAGATATGTACATAAAATTGTAGATCAAGATATGATAGTTCTCCTTTCTGTGGGTTTTTGTGAATCCTTTCTAATATTTGGTTTAAGGAATTGGGTTGAGAAAATCATAAGAAACCTTTAATAAACTATGTCCTTAATTTGATATTTCGGAACAAATATAATTACATATTTTTACTATAAATACATGTGTAGGTGTATTCTATAAGAATGACACCAAAGGAGTTTCTAAGTCTAAAAAGTACAAAGCATATCTGAAGTATTCTAGAAGTATGTATTAAGTGAGTTGTCCTTTAACTTGGTAATCTTAAACAATAGATGTATTCCTAGGTCAGCCTCAGAAATCCTACTTTTAGCTGAATTGCGCTACACAGTATGCCTAAAATCTGCACACAATTATACATTGTACTCCTGCTTAATAATCACACAGATGGGAAACCTCAGGCTACTGGAAGATATAGGGACTCAAAGGAGACCCAGAAAAGAAAGAATCTGTGTGTGTGTGTGTGTGTGTGTGTGTGTGTGTGTGTATACATTCACAAATATATATCAAAAGTTTATTTGAATATGGTGGAATTACATGGAAGTTTTATGAAGTGATAAAATTGCTTTAGAAGCTCAGTAATTAAAACCAGTCTAGACTGGGTGAGATCTTTTTGAAAATAGTGGGCTTTAAAGCATTTGTCTTGATGGAATTGAAAAGTATAGAAGTTGTGGGGTGCTATCTAGAAAAGAAAAATATGCTTGGAATAACCTACTTGGACAAGTATCATTCTTAATGTAGTTAATGTCCCTGATACAGCGTACATTTTGTGTGAGGAGTAAAAATGGTTATAGTAAAAATAAATCAATGGAGGATAGGTGGTAAAAATATATAATTGTTTCAAATGATGTGACTAAGAGGAACAGTTGGCCTTTATGTTTTCTAGAAGACTCTTAAATTTGACTTGGATTTTGGTTTCTTTAAAGAGCTGGTAGTAAAAAGCAGGGGTTGAGGTACCGTAGTTGTGCATATTTAAAAATAGAGTACACAGTGGAATGAATTTGAATTGTGGATGAATACTTTATAGACCTAAGAAAAGTTAAAATTAAATAATTTGTACAATTTGTGTATCTGTTTTCTTATCTAAAGTCCCATTGGTTTGATGAATTTTGAAAGGTTAGATAAACTATTTCATGTGTTTGATTTTTAGGAATCTCAAGGTTCAGCTAACATTTTTGACACGAGTGCAAATTAACTGAATTTTAAGCAGAACTGTGAGTTGGCAGCAGAGATCAGACAGATACTACAAAACGGTTTTAGTCACTGATAGATGAATTTGCTATACTATAGCATTAAAATATAGAGATTATAATCATTTTTCCATTTAAAGTTTTGGTTTAATTATACCAGTTTTTGTGGGGCACTACTGAAATGAAGTAAGTAGACCTTTCTATCGCCTTAGGGTCTCTGGATTGAATGGGAAGGTAGGGCTATTGCAGAGCTCCATGTTGGACAATTAGATTGAAATGTGATTTATGCAACCCTTCTGTGGGCAGCTTATTTCTTTGGCTGGTTTTAAAATCATCAGCCCAGACTTCATGTGTTTATGTACATTTGGTTGTGAAGCCTGCATTGGTTTCATAATAGCAATCATTGCATTGTTTTGAATGAAACCATATGTTCTTGTCTAGTCTCTGTCATTTTAAGTATGAACTTTTTCTTGGCTGATGAAGATAATAGTTAAATTCCATAAAATTGTGAATTTGGAGCAGATCTGTTCTCTGTAGGAGGGTGGGACCTAGAGCAAAGCACCTGTTTCCTGCTATGTCCTTCACCTAGTTTGTTCAGTGGTGCTCTGTGGATCTCTCAGTGCTGAAGCTCAGGTTCCTGCAGCACAGGTAGCTGCACCTTTTCCAGCCTTCTCTAGGTAGCATCTCTGTTGCCTTCAGTTGGGATTCTGATAGTCTCCTTCAGTAAATTTCCAGAGCAGCCACTGAAGCTGTTCATTTTCCTGCCCCTAGTGCCTGGCAGTATGTGCAGTCACTAGTGAAATCATTAAAATCAGTGCATATAGTCCAATCAAATCATTAAAATGAGTGAGTGTCAGGTAACAAGATGGAAGAAGGGAAAATGTCCACATGCCTTGGGGTGGGAGGAGTATGAGTGGAGAGAGACTGGTAGTTCTCCCAGCCTTTTCAGTTTGGTTTTGGGAGTTCATTCTTGGCTTTACTTTCACCTCTGCTTCATGCCTCCATTCCTAGAGTTCTAGTTTCTGTCCTAACCTCTTGAGACTACCACTGTCCTTGCCTAGGTCATTAGTCATCTTAGTCAAGTGTAGTGAAATCTTTTAACCTTCACCTTAGTGGTATTCGGTACTGCATGTGACAACCCTGTTTCATTAGAGCATATGACTCTTATCCCATGACACTATACTCTTTGGAATCTCACCACAGTTTCTGATAATTCTTTGACTTCTTTATGGGCTCATTTTCCTCTCTTTTGCTAAAGTGATGAACTGAAGATTTGTTTCACTACACATGGTTTTCTTTTCATATATAGTCTTTTAACATAGTTTCATGATTTTCTTCCTTCCTATTTGGTTAATTTATCTAGCACTTATTGAGCATTTATTATACGCCAGACACTTGTTTGACTTATGCCCTGCAGAGATAATAGTGAATAAAATCAAAAATCCCCTGCCCTCTGGGTGCATACTTCATCAATGTGGTGAATTTTCTACTCATTTTCAGATCATAGCTTACTTGCCTCGCACAAACTCAGTGTATCATTTTCCTTTAAGTATTTTTACCTGGAATTCCCACTAGCACCTCAGCTTTTGTGTGTAGAGGATGGGAGAGGGTGGCTTCACTGTCACTGTGTATACCATCTCAGTTGTTTTACAACCTGTCTTCTGTCACTTCCCAGTCTTTAAATCTTTCTCAGTGTGACCGGAAACTGGATTTGGTGTTTTCTTGCTCTACTAACAGTTCAGGACTACAGCTGCACCTGACAGCACAATACCCTGATCTGCTTTCTGCCACTTTCTGACAGAGGAGGTTTACTGACAGGTGGCTGTGAACACCAGCCCTATGTAAAATCACTAAGTGGTTCATCCATAGGATGATATCAAGTGGTCTTTATGCACCACCCCCCTTCTGTTTTCTGCCTCCTTCAGCTGCTTCTCTGCAGTCTCCTGCTTTAATTGATCCAAACTGCGTACATTTCCTCAATTCACCAGACAGTTCATCTCCTTTGAGCCCATGTCTTGTGCTGTCCTGCTTTTACTTGAACCTGTTCAGGCCTTCCAGTGAGTATGTATGTACCATGTAAATATCTTGTCTGGCACATAGTAGGGATCACTGCATGGTTTTGAAGGAAGAAAAGATCTAATGAGTGCATGTCATTGGGTGTTGTAGCCTTGGATCAGCGATTTCTTGCACTGTTTACTCTGCCTAGGGGTTAAGGGCCGGCTGAGGCCCAGCTTATGGCTCTCCTCATGCTTTGGCATTGAGGCTGGGGAACTGTGCACTAGACCAAAAATAA